TTAAGATGGAGTTTGGAAATCCGAGTACGCATTTGCCGTTTGACGGAATGTTATTGCGGCCATAATCGCAGGCGCCAACAGGTGCGAGCCCGGCACAAGCCTATACATGAGTGTATGTGTAAGCATGCAATACTACGTCTGTGAGTCGGTATACCTATATTATCGCTATAGGGCAATAAAGACCCCCATCCCTATAATCTGTGGCGGAAACAATAACTAAACAGGCAGGCAAGCCAGCCAACCGGCACTGATCCAGTACCAGTCATTTATAATGCTAATGGCCACAGGACTGTCAATATTTTGACATTTTACTTCTTTAAGAGACGATATCTTCATCTTTTTTACGTTTTTGTCATAAGTAATTATCGTCGATCAATAGTTATAATATTTTTAGTTATATAATTAACAGTTGTGTAATTAATATAGTTGTAATATTTTATAAAACGTAATGAATTTAACAAAAACGCGAATCATATATGTATACTAATGGAATGTGCCAAAATGTCTCGGTTAACATTACATTTTAGAAATTCATATAAAACCTATCTTCAGCGTAGAAAAAGTTTGAAAGTTAATTTAAAGTTATTCTTATTGTAAGAGTAAACTGTCATCTCAGAAATCCTTTAAACAAGAAGGATATTGCATAAGATCCAAATTTTTTCCATTTATTAAAAGAAATATTTGCTGGAGAGAAATATTACTTTATAATAATATAGATTTTTATGAAAAAAGAGCTTATTTTGTATGTAATCGTAAATAATATTAAGAATTACAGAATATTTGACTTAATTTACATTTTGCGTTTGTTTCATATTTTATACTTTCATGTACTATCCGCACCACGTGTGCATACATCTTATCACGCGCGCATGTCCGTACACATGTAAATCTATCTGCATTTATACATGTGATGTTACATACAGTGTACATTATGCTGGTTTCCATAGCTACGCATGCGTTTACATTACTTACTCGTTCATGAATAGACATTAGTCTATTCATAAACGAGTAAGTACATTAAATAATCAATAAGAATCTTACTGGTCCGTACGTTTGAAAACTCAGCAATAAGAAATAGAAGTAATGGCCAGTAACAGTCAAAGCTAGATTTTTAATGTCTAAATAATTCAATCTGAATTACTATATATATAATACTATGTACGTGCATATATATCGTATTTATTCATTTGAACTGCGCGCCGAATTAGTTTTTTCGGACTTATAAACGCAGTTAAACTACTGTAGTAATATCACGAATTAAATTGATAAGCAATTTTAATAATTTGTTGCTCAATTACCCCATTAGAAAGATGTTAATATGTTGAAAGACTGTAAACTTTATTGCGAAAAATATTACCTCGGCCGGGAGTCGAACTCGGATCTCTTGTACGAGCGTCCTAACTCTTAGACTATCGAGGTATATAAACTATATTGTATAATGTTTAAAAAAAAACATTAGTCCAAAATGTCTAAATCTAACTGTAATATTATATATGTGTAATATATGTATATTACAAACTGTCAAACGTCACATTCTACCATTCTAGTCTTTTAACATCGTGCTTTTTTTATGCACTTTGTATTTAAGAAACATTTTGGCTATATACAAAAAGAATACATACAGAATTGTAATATACATGTACAGATATTTATTACGATAACATCTCTATATACGTATATGCTATAGAAAGAAATATATTTATAGCACGAAAGATTTCAACATATCTTCTACCTCGATCTACTTTCTTATCACAAGGAAATTGTTCCGCCCGTCGTGGCAAGACGCCCGTCCCTCCAACCTTAGGAAGAGAGAGAGAAAAAAAGAGAGTTAAGGGAGGCATACTGAGGAAGAAACAGTGACGAGAAGAGAGAGGATGTTCACTTCTCTAAGGAACAGTCATACATTACTCGCTGGCGAAAAAAGACCATCCATAGGACGTTTAATTTCCAAAGCCCTTCCGCCAGCTCCATTCACCGTGTCCCTGAATCCACGAGCATTGCATGAATTCCGTCATTCAGAGCCCAACCCCTCTCACCACTCTCTGTACCTCTTCAGACTTACGACTGCGAGGCACGACGACGAAAAGCGCCGTCGTGTGCAATCTTCTCTATGATACCACCTCTGACCCTCCAGCGTATAGAATTACAGGGATAAAAAGGGTTCGTTCTGATACGATGAACGCTTATGCTTCCCCACGTGTAATTATAAAAACATGATGCAATCTTTTGATAACGTTTAGCGCATCCATGAAATATATGGAACACTTTTGCGTGTAAATATAATTATTTTGATTTCGTTCAAATACACTTCTGTCAAAATTGTGAAAATTAAAATTGTTTACTTTTTTTTTTAATATTTTTCAATCACACAAATATTCTGCTTCTATAAATTTATTTCAACATTATCAACGATTATCTTAAGTGTAAATTGTTTAATAAATCGCTAAACTAAAAACTGCTTTAAGCGGATTTTCTTTAGTGTGTGTTAAGTATAATATAA